TTTAACATCATACACCAAACTTAATTTTTTTTTGCCAGTATTTAAATACTTATATGTAGGTACTTATAATGTATATATTTAAATTTTTAATGTGTTCCTAAAATGGAAAAGTTATTTAAAAACCTATTTTGAAAATTTTTGGTATATAAATATTTAAAAATCATAACTGATTAAGTTGAATTTTAACGATTTTCAATGAAGTTATTTGAAAGTTTTTTTTTTAATTTCGTATTTTTGAATAGTATTTGGATAATATTCAGAAATAAATAAATGGATACGAAAATTCTTATTTGAATCTGTTGAAAGAGCTTTAAAAATTCTCATCCTGGAATAGTTATATTGCAACAATTTGTTATATTTAACAAAATAGACATATCTTTACTAATTTTTTTTTAAGAATATTGTATTATTTTGTAAAATTTTGAAAAAATGTGATATATTACTCAAGATTTTGCATATGTTTGCAAAATTCTAGCATAAAATGCCAAATTTTATCGCATTATGCCAAATTAAAGCATTTTCTGCTAAATTTTAGCTTATTACGCTGGATTTTAGCATATTACGCTAGATTTTAGCATATTATGCTAAATTTTAGCATATTAAATCACACTTAACATATTATATTAAATTTTAGCATATTATGCCACATTTTAAAATATTGTGTTAAATTTTAGTATATCCAGCCAAATTTTAATACATTCTATTGAATTTTTCCATATTATGCCAAATGATAACATATTGTGCTAGATTTTAGCATATTATGCTAAATTTTAGCATATTACTTCAAATTTAACATATTATAATAAATTCTAGCACATTTTGCCAAATTTTAAAATAATTTGTTACATTTTAGCATAATCTGCCAAATTTTGATATATTCTGTTGATTTTTTTCATATTATGCCAAATTATAACATATTGTGCTATATTTTAGCATATTATGCTAGATTTTAGCATATTAGGATAGATTTTAGCATATTATGCTAAATATAAGCATATTGCTTCAAATTTAACATATTATAATAAATTCTAGCACATTTTGCCAAATTTTAAAATAATTTGTTACATATTAGCATAATCTGCCAAATTTTGATATATTCTATTGATTTTTTTCATATATCGACTTAGAACGTTATACCTTACTTTTATTTAATACTGAACTCATTAAAATATTTTGAAAAGTTTTGAAAGAAAAATTGTTATAACAAAATAAAGAAGGTATGTATTTTTAAAGTTCTATTTTTGTTCTACAAACATTTTTTTTCTATAAAATACAACACAGTGGTCAAGAATTATTGACTAAATATACACAATATAATGTAGTTTCTCCCTTGGTCTCTCTCTCTCTAACTCTCTCCTACTCTCATTTTGTGTTATAACATTAAAAATTAAAATTATATTAAAAGAAAAAAATTATTTAATTTTATAAGAAAAGGAAATTAAAAATAAGAATTTCAGAAAAAGTTTAAAAATTGTTCAAGTTAACAAAAATTTTTAACATATTTTAATTACATTGACTCTATAGTGTCGTGTGTGTGTATGCATTATGTGAATAGTATATAAATAGAAATATACATACATATATAATGTAATGCTTAACTTAAAAGTTTGATTTCATTTTCTTTAATTTAAATAAAAAACGAAAGGAAAAAATTTCTTTAGGTCAAAATTTTTTTTAGGACTTTGTTTTTAGGGAAATTTTCATAAATATAAAAGTTTTATTTATGTATTTAGTTGTTTTTTTTTTGTTTTTCTTGTTAATGAATTTTAAATTAAAGTTATATATGTATTTTTGGTAACTAGTAAAGTGTGTACATGTAATGTATAACAAAATCTTATGAAAGCTAGAGAAAAATTAATTTGAAAATTCTTATACTCAATTATAACCGTACTCATCCTCACATTCACTCATTCAACGCTCAACATATTCAACATTAATCTCTCAATTATAATTGTATATAAAAGTTATATAGTTTTTTAAAATATTTAAATGACTTGAAACTAAAATTTAAAGTATCTTATATGAAAGATACCTATCTAACCTCATTCATTGTATATATACAATGTATGACTACTTTTTAATGTGTATAATGTCGATTTTAATCTACTTGTGATGTAATAGAACTATAGTTTTGCTTTATAACAGTATTATTAGAATAATTCTTTAAAAAAAACTGTTATAATAAAATATAATTTCTATATTATATAAAAATTTTAAATATTATTTTAAGAAAAGGAAAGAAAAGTTTACTTATATGTATGTACGAGTATCACATGTATATCACACCAAAATGGTGTATTAATATGATTTGTTAAAGAAAAGATAATTTCCTACCCGAAAGCCATCTAGATTTAAAGAAACTTTTTTAAGAAACTTTTCTAATATTGAAGAGGAAATTAAATTTGTTTTAGTTTTTATTCACATATATAAAATTTAAATAGTTTTGAGTTTTGTTTTAATAAAAATTTATTAAATTTATTTAGTTTAATATTTTTTGAAAATTTTTGTTAAATTAATATTAATTAAGGAATTTAAGGTTCAAAACCAAATGTAGGTATTAAATAAATATATAGTAAGACAATTTAGTACGAGAGTTAATCTTATACTAACCCGAACACGGTAATCATTACGTCTTATATTGTAAAAAATTTTAAGTGAAGTCATATTAAATGTATAGTTAAATACATTCATCGGACCCTTCTGAGAATATTTTTTGTTATATGGTTTTAGATTAATGGTAACTGTATCAAAACATTTGATGTAGTTGCAATTGGGTAATGTTATCCTTTTCTATTTTCATATTAGTTATTTTTTAAATTCTTTATAAGGTAAGTCTAAGATTATACTGTAATATTTGTAGTTATCAACAATGACAACACCTCGCTATACAAAATGAGTTAAAATTAATACATAAAATCTACTGTACGCATGTGAATTTTCCTAAGTTTACTGCCGGCAATTCCCTTCCAGAAAAAACAGCTTTGAGACCAAACAACTTGAGAAGGAAGGCAAAAAAAGGGAAATGTTATTACACTATTCCACACTATTTATTCATCTCGACCCATTCCATCAGCTTTTTTCAGGACTAGCATTATCAAGTCTCTAACGAGTATAGAAATATAATTGAATTTTGAAATTAATACAAATATGCTCACACAATTCCAAAATTTTAAATGTATAATTATATAAATATATTTGGCATAATTTCATGATAAATTGTGTGTTAAGACTGTAAGTTTGTTAAAGACATTGATTTTCTTTTATTGTACTTTAAGAATAAGAACCCAACCAACTTCGTATGTAAAATAATATTTTTATATTTTATAAATTTATTTCATTCCTTTTTTGTATAACAATTATTAAATTTACTATAGCTATTCACTAAAAAATTTCACTGCCGTCAAATGTAAGAGTCTGCTTTAAAATAATATAAAAGAAAATTTATGATGCCAATTAATTATAAAGAAAAAAAAAAACTAATTCAAATTTCTACTCATTTATTTCTTAATTTAAGTCTGAAGAACTTTTTATAAGAAAATTATTTTTGGTGAAATATTTTAGGGTTTCATTTAAAAATAAAGTTCTTATAAAATATAAATGTAAAGAACGGAAATTTTAGAAGGAAATTTTCAACTTATATAATAAAAGTGTGTTCTTTTAAGTGTATACGAATTACGAAGTATGTATGTCTGTATATAGGAAAGTATTTATAAAAAAATTATTTATGTGTACCTTACATTTTAAAAGTATAAAATAACTTTCAACAAAAGGATTTATTCAAACAAAAGAAAATTTATATTTAATTTTTTGTTTTCATTTTCCGACATGTAAATGAAAATTTAATATGGTTAAAAAGGATTCTTATATATATTAATCATTGTAAATGATGTTTGTGTTAAGTACATACACTTTAAAAAAAACTGTTATACCATATTTGTTATTTTTTAGAACGTCGTTCATTTCAAGTACTGTGAATGTTTAACGATTCGAAATTGCATATAGAAAATCTCGAGGAATAATTTTAAAATATTTAAGTTCATAGTTGAAATTAATAATATAACAGATTATTTAATATGCCATATTGTGATAATTAATCAAAAAGTTATACGACATTATATACGAATCGGAAAATGCGAAAATATTTCATAAAAATACATTCGATTTTGCAGTCAGACTTAAAAAACTCTTTCCTGTTTTATAATATAATTTAAATACAGTACAATCTGCATATAACAAACACGCAATAAAATTGTCAGTAATTTTTTTAAAAATTAACCAATTTGGCAATATTTTAATTGATTGATGGCAACCTTAATGTTCACTATGTTGTTCTATAAGTTCTCTGTTTACATATGTATTTGAATTTTCGGAATTAATATTACTGTATACGAAAAATATTTTAAACGTAGATAAAGAACAACTTTTATGAAATTTTCATTTAAATAAAATTTACAAATCAAAAGTATAACAAAAGCTGCTGCAGTTTTTTGTTATATTCAACGAATTTTATATTTTAAAGTCATAAGAGTGATTTAAATTTTGTTTCTCCTCTAGAACGGGTTTAAATGGAATAAAAAGCTATCTTGAATATTTTTGGCAAAATGGCCGAAAAAATTTACAATAAGATTTGTTTTGGCAGCTTAACCCATTCTCAAAATAATTTGATTAATTGTGTTAAATGCAATGTGGAATTTTTTTACAGTGTATTACTCTAATACATACTTATTCTGTTAAAATATTATATTTATATTTATTAATTATTATTTTAGTTTTAACTATGTGTCTGTATACAGGTGATTCCATTTATTTATGTATAACAATAAATTAAATTTAAAATCATCACTTTATTATACAATTTTACAACCCTATAACCCTTTATACGTATGTATATGTTTGTATTATATTATAATAAATTTTATTGGTTAAATTTTACAATTTTATTAAGAATTTCAAAAAAATGTTTTTGCTCCTTCTAAAAATATATTAATTTTCATTTATAGGCAATTTTCAAAAGAGGAAGCATCAGCAACTGTTGGAACACAACGTGTATACAAAAAAACTTCACCAAATTCAATATTAACAATGTATTTACCAACAAGAGAAATTGTATCTTGTGGTACACAACCATCAATATTAAAAGGTATATTATTTGTTGATCCAAAATCAATTCAAGGATATCGTGTTTATGCTCAACTAACATTAACTTTCCGGTAAGTGTTAACAAATTGAAATTGTAAAACTATTTTTATATATATGTAATTAAAATTAATTATACAATGGTTTGATTTGATTTGAATATCATAAAAGAGATTAAAGATTTTGATATTTTAATTTTTACAATTTATTTTTGATATTCATCTCTTTTTAAAGATTATCGGGACTGTTTTTTAATTAATTGCATTTGAATGAAATTTTCAATAGGTAAACTCTTTTAAATAAAGTAGGTAAAGGAAATTAAAGCTACATGTGGAATGCATTTTGAAAATAAAATTGTTTTCAATTAAGTTTCAATGCATTTCTATGGTTTCAAAAAGAAAAACTGTCAAAGCTGAAAAAACGTATTTTTAAGAAAATTTTCTAAATTTTTTTAAATTTTCAATTAATTGAACAATATTAAAATTTTTACATATTGTTTTTATAATATTATGCCAAATTTTAGTATATTGTGCGTGATTTTAATATATTATGTCAGATTTTAGCATATTACGCTAGATTTTAGCATATTACGCTAGATTTTAGCATATTATGCTAGATTTTAGTATATTAGGCTAGATTTTAGTATATTATGCTAGATTTTAGCATAAAACATTAAATTTTAGCATACTACATTATATATCAGCTTACTGTACTAAGTTTTAATATTACAAGATAGATTTTAGCATATTAGGCGAAAATTTTAACATATGATGCCAAATTTAAGAATAATACGCTAAATTTTAGAGGATTATGCCAAAATTTGGTACATTATGCTAAATTTTAACATATTATGCTACCTTTCAGCATATTATTCCAAATTTTAATATATTAATTTTGTTTTTAATGAAAAGTTAGAACCTGTATGAATTTTAATAATATTAATGATCTTTAATAATGTAGGACATCCTTTAAATGGAATTATGAAAAGAACAAGACAATTATTAATAGCCTATACAATACTTTATAATTAGTAAAATTATAATAAAATAGAAAATTTCTGAAATCTATCATAACCATTGAAATTGTGAATAATACCATAAATAATAGCATATATATAACAGCAATATATACTGAATGTAATTTTATATAGAAATTATGTTAAATTACTTCTGAAACAAGTTCTTTGATGTGGTTAGGTTAAAAAAAAAATTTTATAGAATAAATTTATTTATCTTATCAAAATTTTACAAACAATTAATTACAATTTTACTTCACAAGTCACCTGACATCCTGTTATTCATTCTATAACAATAATAATAATTTAATCCTAAATCTTTTTCATAGATTTTCGGTTCTTTTGAATATAATTTGAAAATTTAAACCAAAATCTGTTATATTACATTTTAGAAAGAAAAGAACAAAGCCAAGGGAAAAAAAGAAATTCAAATTATTACAAAATGATGAACCTTCTTTTGTTCTTTACCATGTAATATCATCAATAATCATTAAGAGATAATGACTAAGTTAGAATTCATAAAAGGATCCATTTCATTGGAATTTTTATATATGAAAATTACCATTCCGGAGAAACAGGAGGAGCATAAAAGAAGGAGAAGGGAAATAGGAGAGAAAAGAAGAAGCCGTGGCCTGAGGAATAGGTGTATATTGTATTTTTTGTCGGTCAAAGCTTTGTTTTTTTTTTTTTTAAATAAAACAAAAGAAAATTTCATACTTTAATATAGAGGATTGCCTCCTCTTTATTTCGGCTTTTGTTTTAATCTATTTTTGTTGCTTTCTTTGTGGTTTTTCTTCATTTTATTTTAAATATCTGTTATATTATACAAACGTCAATCCGAATTACGTCAGGGAATTAACATTTAAGGGATAACCATGATGTTATTTGAGGATTTTGTATAAAAAAAAAAGAAATGGAAAACTCTTAGTAAAATAATTACAACAATTTTATATTTATGTTTGTATTGTATGTTCTTCATGGTTCGCACATAAAGTAAATTTTATCATAAGTATAAAATTTCATCATCTGAAATTAATTATTTTCTTGTTTACCATAATTATTAAAAAAATAATATGCATATTAGGGTGGGTGAACATTAAATAAGTGAATTGTGGCTAACTTATATTTGCACAAATCATAACTGGTCAAAAAAAAATTCAGTCCTTCCATGCAACGTTTCGAATTGTGAAAGTTTTTTTTGTGAATTCGAATTTTCGTCCTTCGTATACTAAGTTACAGTTTTTTCGGCCTGATGTACAAATTTCACCTCGAAACCTATGTTATATAAGTAGATGTAAAAATATTGCTTATTTTCAAAAAAAAATTTTAGGAAATGAATTTTAGACAAAAAAAATTTATTGACCCTCTCTAATTTGTTTATTATATCTAAAATAAATATTAAATAAACATTTTTGTAATAAACTTGATTTTTGTTTTTCTTTTTATTTTCAGATATGGTAGAGAGGATGAAGAAGTAATGGGATTAAGATTTTGTAATGAGGCAATAATGTCCTTGTATCAAATTTATCCACGTACTGAGGAACCAAAAAGAGATTCATTAACCCCATTACAGGTAAAATAAAAATTAAAAAACAAAAAATTTAATAAATAAAAAAAAAAATAATATAAGAAAAAAATTGACTTAAAATTTTTCAATTAAATTGACGGTAATTTGAAATTGGAAGAAAAGCAAGAATAAATTTTTAAATTCAGTGTACAATTTGATTATTATGTGTTGAATTTCTCATTATTAAAATATTTTTATTGCAAGAATAGATATTTGCTTATTCTAGTGAATTATGCTAAATACTAGCACACTACTCGTTATTATAGCATATTATGCTGAATTTGAACATATTACACTAAATTTTGGCATATTACGCTAAATTCTGGCATATTACGCTAAATTCTGGCATTTTACGCTAAATTTTAGCATATTTTGCTAAATTTCAGTTTATTGTTTAAGATTTTAGTATATTATGCCAGATGCTAGTATATTATGCTCAATTTTGACATATTACACCAAATTTGATTATGTTATGTCAAGTTTGAGCGTATTACGCCTAATTTTAGCATATTATGATAAATTCTAGCATATTACGCTAAGTTCTGGCACATTATGCCGAATTTTAGCATATTTTGTTAAATTTTAGTATATTACCCAATATTTTAGAATATTATGCCAAATGCTGGTCTATTACACCAAATTGGATTATGTTATGTCAAGTTTAACCGTATTACGCCTAACTTTAGCATATTATGCTAAATTTTAGCATATTATGCCAAATTTTGGCATATTATGCTAAGTTTAACGTATCGCCACAAATATGAACGTTTTATGCCAAATTTGAGAATATTATGCCAAATTTTAGCATATGGTGCCAAGTTTGAGCATATTATACGAAACATAACTAGAATAAGCTGAAAATTTAGCATATGATGCCAACTTTAATCATATTACGCTAAATTTTTGCATTATTATGCTAAATTTTAATTTTATTAAACAAATTTCGGCTTAGGTTAAATCATTTTGAATTAATTGCGAATATAAACGCTAGAACATAAGTTTAAGAGTATGTTATGACTGAAAACCGTGATTAATTAAATCTTCTTTTGATTTGACTTCTCAAATTCTATAAATAATTCGCTCTCACAATAACAAAATTAAAATGCCCATAAAAATACTAACTATGTATATGTATAGTGCATCTATTAAATAGACGATTTCTTAGTATATTGATATATTGAATCCACGCAATATGAAATTATATTTATGTAGGTAATTGAAAAAATTAAGATCAATTTCCTATGTAGGCATAGATAAATTTAAAATTTCATTATACTATACAAGTGAATAAGTTTTATTTAGTCCTGACAGTTTTGAGAACAAAAGAACAAAAAAAGAAAAAAATTAATTTTTCGAAATATTTAAAAGTACGCACACTATGTATAATAAATGGGCTTCCGGCCATCTAGTAGTATAAATAAATATTGAAATTTTATATTGTACCAGTAACTTTATCTTTATTTTAAGCATAGTAAATAATTGTATGTATATATACATAGATATACATTATTCTATTATAAATATGTATATATATATTTTAATTTTTAAAAACATTTTATTTTTATATAATTAAAATATCCTAATAAGATGATAATTTCATCATGAAATAGATTTCTCCTTCAGTTTTTTTCCTGTACTTACCCTATATATTATACGACTATATGAGTACATAAATTGCGTCATTCTAGTATTTACTGCACCATTATTATAGAATAATATAATATGTATGTGTGTATATATGGATATCTGGTATACTTAGAAAACTTAAAGGTACTTAAAATATATTTATATTCCAAGGGAAAATATTAAAAGTTTTGCTTTTTTTTTGCGCTTTTTCAAAACACTAAAATATTAAATTACTTTAAATTACTTTAAAATATTATAATTAGAATATTTTATTAATTTAAGGTTTAATGTTAAAAATGTTTACATATAAAATACAATATCATATACTATATATATGTAGGTATTTAGATAGTATGACCAAGTTTTATAAAATTTGATCTATTCTGTTGCTCGACATTTTGTTGATTTATTAATATAATTATGTCAGGACTTAACGCTGTTATACAAAAAGCAAGATATTAAGTAAATTTTAAAAATAAAAGGTTCAAATGAATTTAAATTTGATCTGCATATACATACACTTTATCCAGCACGAACGCATTAATTTTTTCTAACTAACATTTTTCATTAAATTTTAATAGAATTTGAAAAAGCATTACAATTCCATGAAAACTTATTCCAGCATTTGGATTCGTTTATATCAAGGTCGACCAAGTATTTGTGCTGGATTACATGATAGTGGAATCCAATAGTAGTCCTTCCTTAAGAATGACTCTCAATTTCAGTGATTTTTTGACTAATACGGACATGATGTGGGACGACTAATACGGACATGATCACAAAAGGACGACTACCATGTAAATACGACTATCTTATTTACAGCCGCTTTTATTTTAATTTTTATCGTTTATTCTCGATGTTGAATTAGAAATAACCAGACAAACAGTTGTATCGAAGAAAACTAATGTATTCTTTCAACACAAATTAAGGTTAACTGCTGAATTCCATATGATTATATTTGTTCCGAATTTAGTACCTTGATTTCTAAACATAAAATTGGAATAATTTTGAATAATATTTATTTCACCTTTATTAATAATTAATAAAATTAAATAAAATACAATTTTCTTACAGGATGCTTTAATTAAAAGACTTGGTATTGGTGCTTATCCATTTACACTTAGTTTATCACCACAATCTCCTCCAAGTGTTCAATTAGTTCCAGCTAAAAGATATTATGGTGCACCAATTGGTACGAGTTATGATGTTAGATGTTTTATAGGTAAGTAAATATAATTTATATTGAATAACAGCGCCGATAAACTCTGAAAAAAACTACTGAATCTAGTTAGGCTAATAATTTTGTATCTACTGTTCTTTGTTCATTGCATACCATCGCAAAATCTACTTATTCAGAAATTATATATAATTTCTAATATATAAAATAGCATAAAATCGATTCACCATAACAAAAATATTAAAAAATCTGAAAAAAATTTTTTTTTCCCCGCCAGGATCATACAGACTCTTGTCTCTGTACGATTGTACAGTGTTATTCGTACAGACTCCTACAATTTCTGCATTATTAATTCAATTTACTCTTGAATAATTCTTACACTTCCCTTTTCAAAAAATTCTTGAGAATGAGAACAAAAAATATAATTTTTAATTTTTCTTCATAATTTATTGAAATATTTTTGTATTAAAATTAGGTACGCCTAATTATATGCAATATTTTCCAATTAACAATTTTTTTTTTTGTTTTTATTTAATTATTGTGTTTTACGTGTTAAACCTTAACAAATTTAATTTTTGGTTTTCTTATTCTTTTATTTATAACACTTATACAAATTTTTAATGTTGCTGGTACTAGATATCCTTTTTTTTTCGTTCTTAGGCAATATATTTAAATTATCGGGTTTTTTTCTTACCTTTTTTTACTTTACACTTATTCAAATTTCTTGTATGCCCTATTCTACTTTAATAATTTGGTGCAGAACAAAAAAAAGAAGAAACTAAGTAGAAAAATGAAAAAAAAAGGAAGAAGAGGAAAAAAAGGTTATTTTCATCTTTAAAATGAAAAAAAAAAAATACGACGTGCAAAAATTTTCTATGACCTTCACAATAAAGTCATTTAAAATATTAGGGTCAAGCAAAAAATAATAAAGTAAAAATAATAATAATAAGGACAAATTTGAATTTTAAGGATACTATGGGCTTGATTGATAAGTTTTTCTCTTTCTTTCCTTCTTTAATTTTTTTCATTTTTGACTGCATTACCGTTAAGTTAATAAAAATTTCAAATACAAAGGACCAAATAAAACCAAAACAAAATAAAATGTCATTCTTTTTTTCTCTCATCATTTTTTATACACACTGGGGCAAATACACTTAAATGGATAGGGGTCTATTTGTGAATTGTGTATTGTAATAGCTGATATTATGTACATATAACAGTTTAAATTATTCTATACCCATATATGCACGTAAACGTAAAGAATCGTAATGAATAATTTGAATTTGTAAGAAGAAGAAAAATATGGGCCTAAAATATAGACTTGATTTGATTACAATTGGTTTTTCATACTAAAATGTTATTTAATATTTTGTTTTAAAAAAAAAATAATAAAAAATTAAGAGAAGAAAATATGTTAACCTTGTCAAAACTGTGATACTGTACGCCATTTACTGTGACTGTGCTATTTATGGTTGAAATTATGTTGTATAACTTAAATATTTTAAAAAATTGAAAATTAATTAAATAATTATTGAAGTTTTGTGGAAGTATTCATAAAGACTCGTGCAATTTTAACAAGTCTTACCAAAACTAATAAAATATTCATCGTACACAATATCAGTCCCGTAGGTTTAATAATTTCCAACTCAATTGATCGTCATGAAACGCATTTTAATTAAATTACATTTATTTTAAAAATGGTTCTGGAATTTGCTATAATAAACTATTTGTGAAAATTTGGTTAGCTTTTTTACTCTGTTTATGTTCTGAATTATCGCTTCAACGGATAGACGAATAGATAAACTGGTAGACATGATTAAATCGAACGAATTTTCCTAGTGTTACAGACAGAGTGACAAATATATTTAATATCCTTCGAATACAAAATTTACAGAAGGGTGTCTTTTTAACATTTAATTTCCTTTAATATTTGCATTTTTCTTTTCTAATATTTTCTTTTGAATTTCATGTGATTTATATACGCGTTGTAAAATACTACATAGAATCCTGATGAGAATAAAAATATAACCAGAATATTAAGTATATATTTAAGGATATAGTTAAAAAGGAGCAAGAGAATGGACACTGTCTATCAAATAATTCATTTTTTTTATTATTTCTTTTTCTTTTCTATATTCTATTCTAATAATTTAAGTTGAAGGTTACAAAACAAAGTGAATGATCCTTTCACATTTTCTTTGTTATTATGATTTTCAACTGAAAAAGGAATATTTTTTTTTTCTACCAAGTAAAGAAAAAATCAATGAATAAATTAGTTCTGTTTTTTCGATTTTCCATTATTATTTTCGTTAAGGTTTTGTTATTTTTATTTTCCGAATAAAAAAATATATTTTTTTTTTGTGACCATTGTTTAATTGATTTTGTCGTCAGTTTGTTTTAATGTCCATGATAATCAGATGATTTTTATTATTACGATTTCTAATATAGCTAGCTACGAGTATATACATAAAAATTTTTATAAATTTGATTTTATGAAATATATAGAATTATATATTAAGTAACACGCGTCATTATGTTAAATTGATTTTTGATTTATTATTGAAAACCTTAATTTAATTAAGATTATCTTATGTATATTTAAAGGAATATTGTATAACACTTATCTGAATTTAGTATATTGGCCAATTTAAATTTAGCATTTTGATATAAAATTGGGTAGTTAAAGAGCTTCTCCTTATAAAATACACAAATTTATTGAAAAGGCAAGTTCTGGGAAGAGTACTCTATGTTCTTCCATTCTATGTCTGTACTTATTTAGGAGAGGAGAGAGCCACAATGGGCATTCAACTAGTGAATAGGGACTGGCATTTACTCCCGTAGGTGGCTTTAATATTTATAAATGTATAAAAATTTTAAAGCCATACATACTTTTATATATCGATCAAATACTTAATATTTGTAAATTTTTTTGCTCGCTCCGAAATAATTAAGTTGCATACATTGTTTTCTGAACCCTCTTCCTATACCAACGAACGATTTATATGCAAAAAATATTATTTTATTATGTTTATGATCATTGTTAGTTTGATTCTTATGTTTACATAATTTCCTGTAAAAAATTGAAAAATTTCGCTAACGTACACATTAAGCTGCTACCTAGTCTCATGTAAGTTCGATTAATGAAATGAGACAATTTTCATTTACGATTTTAGTGTGGAATATTTGCCTCTAATAGTACAACACAAAATTAAATTATTAATTTCAGTTTATTCGTTTCTACCGTAAAATGATAAATGTTATAGCTTCCAAATAGAAATTTCATATTTCCATAAGTAGACTAAAAGTATTTGAGCTATATTTGAATTTTATATACTCTACAATTTATTTAATATTGTTATACACGCGCACCTTATCTACATTCTTCTGTACCTTTAAATAATTAATATTTCTAGAAAAAATTTAAAATATTTCAATAACAAAATCAAAGCAAAATATTATCGAATCCTTATATATGATTTTCTTTTAAAAATATCCTTTGATTATATACCCAAAACTCACACCATTATGGGCTCATAATCTTTATTATTTTATAAATACCTAGAGGAGTGTATAACAGTGATTTTAACATTGTATAAAAATATATATTTAAAATGAAACTGTTTATATTCTTTTGTTTCTTTGCCGTCTATTCTTATAAATTATGTAATTGGTAGCTCAAAATACAAAAAGGAAGCAAAAGAAATACTTAAATATAAAATTCAATTAATATTGTATTATATCTATTATGATTAAAGAAATAACGATTATTATATTAAATTAAAATTAATTTGCAATTATTTAAATGAAATTCATTGGAAAGCTACTTTACATAACCTTATAATAAAATTTCTAATGTATAATTTAAAGAGCAAAAATAGTGTATTATTTTTAATGTTATACATACGTTGTTTTATAGGTGCGTTCCTTTTGAGGGTATACACAACACTTTGCGTTTTCCATTCAGAAAAATATAAGACTCTAGGCTATTGTGGAGTAGTTTGTAAAATAAGTGCTGTTTTGTATTGCATTACTGTTATATAGCAATAAATGATACAATTATTAAGATTTAGAACCAAATTATGTATCCCGCCTTCTGAAACACCATTTTTATTTACTTTCAAATCGGAATTTTTCTGTTTTTATTCGAAAATGCCATATTTCTTATAAAATTATTCATTTTTTCTCAAAATATCAACTGAAATTGTCATCTTCCAAGACAAATTCTGAAAAAAGCGAGATACGAGAAGAAAAAAATTTCTCACTTGAAAATCATAAGATACATACTCACTTTCCTCTCGCTCGGCGAGTAAAAAGTCGTGATACATAATCCAGTCCTTAACGTTTAGCCGTCTATCAGAATGAATGTGCGTTATACTTAGCCTTTTGTATTGGTTAAGTGTTATATGTTTGAAGTGTTATATGTTTAGAGTGTTATTTGAGTGCTTGTAAGTTCTTGTGAGTGTTATAGGTTTTAGAGACCACTCTAAATAATTAAAAAAAAAAAAAATACCAAATAGTTAATTTTTTCAATTTTAAGCCCATACTTTATTTTTGTGTATAACAGAATCTACTCTTGATTATTGCGGAAGTGGCTTAAAGTTTTCTATACCTTTGAAAGGAATGCAGACAATATTTGAATTTGTAGCCTATTTCTTACTGTTATACACTTGTATAACAGAATTACAATACAAAATTGTGTGTCATTTCCAAACTAATCCCAACTACTGTAGGAGTAATTTGGATTATTGTATATCCTTAAAAGGAACTCTCATATTTATAAGTCTTTAATAGACTGTTAAAGAAAGATGTTCATTTTATTTTTTGCTTTGTATTTTTTTTTTTCTTTTGTATTTTTTTGTTGTTTTTGTTAATATTTTTGCATTTACACCTGTAGTAATTTTATTTATTATTATTTTTTATAAAGATAAAAATCTCTTAAGACTACATATAAAACTATAATAATAGTAATACAAGAAAAAGGACTCTATATAAGGATATTAAAAGAGCAAAAATAAAAAAAAATATTTTTATTAAAGTTTCAAGCC